GTTTGAATCAATTTAGCGGCTTTTAAAGGGTATCATTTCGCTCTTACTGACGGCATGGAAAATAAATGAATAACTTGACTCACTAGACGCTAGCAAATGTGTCAATAAATGCATCAATCTCTGAGCATTAACAAGTTGTGACTTGATTAGTTCAAACAAAACAAACTTCAAGCGATGCCGACGCGTGCACGTGTCGCTTTGGATTAAACCGGTTTATTAAGGTTCTAGGTACCGCTTTCATTACGGACGCGATCCGAACGAAACCTTTACTAAAAACCGATATCAACCTTTATTTACCGGTATTAGCGAAACCGGTTTCAAGCCTTGCTGCAGACGAATAGTATTATTTCGTTCTTTGGCGAGGTAAAAGATTGATAGTGTTGCAGTAAATGTTCTGGCTACTGTTAGATATAATCGAATCCTAATTCTTAGAAAATTTCTATATGACTTCCTCTCACATTGGGTGGAAAAGTTTAAGATTTTTATGGATTTTGAATACGTTTGTTTGTATGGTCACTACTACTTAGGCGGGTATTTTAAATTCTCAGAAAAAATCTTTTTAGACAACACTGATCAACATGATTTTTTGCCGTTGATTCAATTGTACTTTTTTGGTATGTATAATGTACAAATATTAACAGAAAACAGAGGAGCTCGATGGCGCAAGTGGTTAGCGCGTTCGGCTGCGATCGTTGAATTTAAGCAACTTTCGCAGTGGCCGGTCTCTGGATGGGTGACCAAAAATCTTCTATCTCGAGTTCCTTCGTGCTTCGGAAGGCACGTTAAGCCGTTGGTCCCGGCTGCATCTGCAGTCGTTAGCACCCGCCAATTCGCATTGGGCCTGCGTGGTGGGTCATGGCCCAATCTCCCTATTCCATCCATAGGGAAGGCCTGATCCCCAGCAGTGGGGACATTAATAGGCTGATGATGATTAACAGAAAAATAATGTAAAAGTTTTATTAAATCGAACTATATAAATATGCACATTTAAAATATTTGGCTTAATTTTTTGAGGGTAGGTCGCAAAAGAGTGTTGCAACCAATTGCAACTAATCTCACAAACAAAAATAATATTGCTATTTGTAAATAAATACCTTACATTTGTGTGTTTTAAACTTTATTATTGGTTTATAGTCATTTAATATCGCAATAACACGCGGTATTGCAATAACACGCAGTATTGCAATAACACGCAGTTTTGCAATAACACGCAGTATTGTAATGACGACAAGCTATTCCTAGTGTTATTTAAAGGGTTATTGTTAATTAATTGTGATGTCTTTTTGTCTATTTTAATATGTTTCAGTTTTGATGAAGTGTTTTAAATAAATATATGTAGTTTACAATGAAAATCGATAATCTCTTATGTTTTGTTTGTGAGGTGTTTCATTCAAGTTCCAATCAAGAACGATCTACGCCGTTTATAATATTTACAAGTTGTGTTTTGGATTCAAGATTTCAAGATTGGAGTCAAGCAATTTATCATTTTGCCATCTATTTATTTCAAATAGAAGTAAAAATTGTACCAAGACGTGACGTCATTGCGATATTTTTTTAAACATTCAACTGTCAGATATTTAAATCTAAAGAAAATTATACTAGAAAAAAAACATATTTTTCAAATTCCTCTTTTTAAATTCATTGTCAAATGTTAATACTTACTTGCAAAGGTATTCGTTTGACATTGTGGGTTACCTACAATGCGAAGAGGTGGCGCTGCCTTGCAGCCTTACAAATGCTAGGGAAGATTCCACACGGCCATCAGGGCCGCGGTTCCATAATTAATAGTCAGTTCATTTGCCCGGATAGCGAAGGGTGCGGTTTTGAGTCCCATCTGCTGCCTATTCCGCCTAAAATTTCATATAGTAAAATTTTCTTTAGCCATGCGATATTTCAAATCAATATATCTATGTAATGTCCAATATGTTTTGACAATCTATCTGCTAGTCGAAGAAAAAAAGGTTAGCCTACATCCCTATTCTCTGAGTAAAAGAATTGTGTGTGTCAGCTCCGACGCACGACCGGAGTTTACACTCTAAAAACGATTGTCTTTGAACAGACACAAAACAAAATCAAGTCCGAAGAAGTCGGTTACAAGTAGAGATACCTCAGGAATCGTCCCATGGTTTCGACTATCATAGGTTCCATGTCACACATTTTATCATCTAACATCAGCGATATTCATCATATATTTTATTATGTATTTCTGGAAACACACAATTTCAAAAATATCACACACTAGTCATCATTTTGTAAATTCCATCTGTACTGAAAACCACTATTCCAGAGTGCTGGACACTTCCCGGCATTTCTCTATATTCTGTTATTTATTTGTCTTCATTAATTTTGCTCCGATTTTATCTATTTTTAGTTTATTTATTTTATTGACATTTGTGACAACTTAATGTTTTTTATCCGTTGCCATGACAAAAAGTGAAAGGTGCGCAGATGAGGTTGCGCACAAAAACGTATCGAGGTCATTAATGTCATTCATCGATAGATTTTACTCCTCACATTTTTCTCATACCGGGCCCCTTATACATGCAAATCGATTCTTAAAGAGTAAACTCCAAAAATATCATTTTGAAAATGTTTGCCTTCATTCGAACCTAAAGCATAACTCCATAATTTGAAAACGCAATCAATGTTACAATATCACAATTTCCGTATCCATTCAACCTTTTAATTATTCCATTTTTATTCAGTTCCGCGACATAATATCCACTAAGAGGCTATTTGTTCAAATTAGACTCCAAATGGGTCCAATAAATGGCTTCAAATATGACCAAGCTTTTAGGAGAAATAATGTACAGGACAGTAGGAGGAGCTCGATGGCGCAGGTGGTTAACGCGTTCGGCTGCGATCGTTGAAGTTAAGCAACTTTCGCAGTGGTCGGTCATTGGATGGGTGACCAAAAAATCTTCTATCTCGAGTTCCTCCGTGCTTCGGAAGGCACGCTAAGCCGTTGGTACAGGCTGTATCTGCAGTCATTAGCACCCGCCAATCCGCACTTGGCCCGTGGTGGCCTCATCCATAGGGAAGGCCTGTGCCCCAGCAGTGGGACATTAATAGGCTGATGATTGGGACCAACGGCTTAATGTGCCTTCTGAAGCACGGAGCAGCTCAAAATAGTAAATTTTTGGTCACCCATCCATTGACCGACCACTGCGAGTTTGCTTAACTTCAATGATCGCAGCCGAATGCGCTATCCATTCGCGTCATTAAGCTCCTCAAATTACTTTACTTTCTTTCACTGTAACTAAATTTCTGATATTTTATTTTGCAAATTGCGATTAATTAGTTTTTGAGATATTTTGACCTTAAATTTTCTCCGTCACCGTCTAATATTTAGCTTACAGCTACATTATAATGAAGTTGCGTCGACTAATAAATGCGAAACCTCGCTAAGTGGTTTTGAAACCAGTCCCATGTTGCAAACTACTTAATATCTGATTAAGGAGACAGTTATTTCTCATTGTCAACAAATAAAATCAGTTCTGTGACCGATTAGATTAACTGGCTAGCATAATACAATGGACGCTTTGCAAGTCACTTCAGAAAAAAAAAGACATGGCCCATGTTGAACTGGGTTCTCGGTTTTTTTTCATAGTATCGGTTTTTTTTCCTTTAAGATCCAGTTTATTTTAATTGAAAAGTGTTTTGATCTGCTTATACTAAATTTCTCGTTTACTAATATGTAATATGGTATTTATATTTTATATACAGAATGTTACAAAAATACAAATAAAGCTTGAAGGGCGTTGAAGTACTTCAAATAAAGAGTCGTTTCTAATTTTCTTAAAATATTTACATGAAGTTTTAAATTTTTATAAAAACAGTTATTTTTAATGATCCTCGAACTAGTGACATGTCCTAAAATGATCGATATTTTTATTAATAATTAAAAATAACTGTTTTTATAAAAAGTTAAAACTTCATGCAAATATTTTAAGAAAATTAGAGAAGACTCCATATATGATGTACTTAAACGCACTTCAATCTTTATTTTTATTTTTGTAACACCCTGTATATTCTAAAAATAATAAGTGAACAAAAGTGAAGTTCTCTGATACCTACATACTTTATTTTGCTTTCCATAGTCAACCCCATGTTTTTTTAGCAATAAACTTTTCACTACTTTTTTTTAAAGTTAGAAGAATATAAATTTGTAAATTGATAATATAAGTGATGGTAGGGAAACTTCATAGGATATTTTTAAATTTTTGGAACATTCGGTTGTTAATTTTGAAAAAAATACCTAACGTGGGATTCTGTTTAGAAAGCGTTGCCAGTATCCATAATTAGAATCTTTTTTAGTTCAATAAAATATTTAAACGAAAGAACGTGTGGACTTGTGGGTATTAAGATTACAATAAAATAATATTTATTGCTTTTTCAGTTGGCAATATAATGTAACTCTTTCCAATTGTCCACTACGTACTCATTTGGGGCTTCAATTAAATTGATCATATTAAACTCTACAATTTTTAACGAATAAAACGACATTAAACGCATAATGATAATTTACTAGTAAATTATTGACATAAAAATTAATTTGCACTAACTAATAATCCTCCTAGGAGGTTAATGGCTCACGTGTAGTGATCGTAATTTTAAAGTATTTTGTAGTTAAAATGAAATATTTTATTATTTATCGATAAGAGAGCAAATTATCTTTAAATCTACAGTCTGCGAAAGTCGTCTTTTATAAATAATAAACGTTACAATTTTTATACGTTGTGCAATTATATTTTATCACAAAAAATGAAGGAAATTGTGAAATTGTTTCAACAAACAATATAAATATTGCAATCACTGCCTTCAATTTATTTAATGTTCTCTGTGCAATTCTTGGTGTTACAAAACGAATTTAAAACCGTTTGTTCCAATCATTAAGGCCCACTTGCAGTTAATTCTCTAAATCTCGATTCATCTAAAATCAATTTTGTCTAAAAACAAACATTTTGCCCAGTGACTGATGAATTTATTTACACTCCTAGGGCGTCCACAAAGACACGAAAACCGCAAAGGGCCACCACGACCGAGAGGACCACCTCGGCAAGTACTCGGACCACGACGACCACAAGCAGAGCCACCACGTCGAGTCCGGCCACTACGGTGACCATCACCATGAGGAGCACGGCAAGAAACATGCAAAGGTAACCATTTAACTCGTCAACCACTATGTTAGGCAGGCTTCAAACTGCCGTCCTTCGCTATTTGGGCGGTTGTTCTAAACCTTCGCGTTACCGAGACCCCTTGGACTGGCCAGGCCTCCTCGGCACCCCCTGGAGGCCGATCCCTTCAAATGTCAAACGACTGAACCGTAAACGAACCGCAACTTTTTATGACATTTCGTATCGCCCTAAAGTTTTGACAGCTAGTTGAGATGTAAACGTATCACGATTGGACAAAAAAAAGAGAAACCAAGGTCGTATCTTGTAAAACTAATAGACTCTCAAAAATTGTCCTTAGTACGGGGAATCATCTGTATAAAGAGTGCAGTTGGAGTCGCAATCAATCACCTCTATGAGCTCTGGGAGCCGATGGCAACCCATTAGATATCTTCAAAGCAATGGGCGAATACAAAGTTGAAATTTTACACATTATCTGCGATTTCTTCTGTTAAACATAAAAATGGCCTATGATGGCACATTTTATTTTCATACCATTGTTGAAGAAAGCAAAAAAGAATTTATCATATTTACAGACCTTGAAAAAAAAAACGCTGAGAGAGTTAGAGGTAGGGCATTAGTTCTGGTGGTATATGGAGCAACATGACCACATCAGTGGCGGACTACATCTATGACTAATTTATTTTATTAATGTGTTATCTGTAATATAGAAAATTATATATATACACACATCAAAAGTGTCTAGGGATCAAGCATTTTTATGCGGATTTCTTGAGATTGAGATGTGGCTTTGTAATAAATTTATGATTTTATAAATTTATATGGATCCTTTTTGGTGCATTTCATAATTTGAATCAGGAACTGTGAATCAAATTCGAGTAAAAGATGAAAATCAGCTGTCAATATTTTCCCTATAAAAACATACAACGCATTGAAGACATTATTAGTGCTACTGTTTCCCTACTACTGATTAAAACCAACGTTATTATGGAGCGGCGACGTCATTTAAGCAGGGAAGAAATGCTCAGAGCCGTGGGAATGATAGAAGCTGGTTCCCGGCAACGTACTGTGGCTTTAGCTCTGAATACAAGTCAGAGTGTTATCAGTCGACTTTGGACACGATACCGAAGCACTGGTACCGTGGCTGAGCGCCATGGAGGACGGTATCGCTGCACCACACGGAGACAAGACCGATACATTCAAATCTTAACTCGAAGAGCTCCAACAATAACCGCCATGATGTTAGCCGTGAGGCTTCATCACTCTTCAGGGAACTTAATTAGCGACCAAACAGTCAGAAACCGCTTGCATGAAGTGAACCTTCATTCCCGAAGACCGCTACGGGTACCACCTATAGCAATGCACAATCGTAGGATTCGATATCAATGGGCTCTTGAACACAGAAATTGGGCAGAAGAACAATGGCGTTTCGTGTGCTTTTCTGATGAGTCTCGTTTTGGTATGAGACCGGATACAAGACGTATACGACACTGGAGAACCCCTGGACGCCAACAGCGATTAAAATCCTGCCAGGAAGTCCATCCTTATAGTGGTGGAACCATCATGGTATGGGCGGGTATTTGGATCGGCGGAAGAACTGAGTTGATTTGGATCAGAGGCAACCTCAACGCTCAAATTTATGCTGAGACGATTGTATCAGACGTCATCGTTCCTCTACAAGTGCAAATCGGTCCCTTATTTCAGTTAATGCATGATAATGCACGACCGCACACCGCAAGAGTTGTAAGACAGACTCTCGCCGCAGCTAACATCAATGTCCTGCCCTGGCCTGCTCAGTCGCCAGACTTGAACCCGATTGAGCATGCATGGGATATGCTACAGAGAAGAGCTCTGCCGAATATGGAGGGTATCCAGTCGCAAGAAGACCTTTTTTTGTTGTTGCAACGAACATGGGCGGCCATTCCACAGCGTGATTTGGATGAACTCATTTTGAGTATGCCAAACCGATGTTCTTGTGTTGTTAGTGTTTGCGGTAGAAATACGGATTATTAATTGTTTAAGTTACCCAATAAAATTTTAGAGAAAACTGTTATTTCAGTCTTTTTTTCGAACTTTTGTGTTAGTGGTTCAAATGTCAAAAATCCCTTTATTAGGAAAATGGCAAATTTCTTTATTAATGCAAAGGTGACTTGGTTTATCGTTACTGTGACAAACGAAAACACTTTATTTGATGAATCCTTAAAGAAAATTTTAATTAATATCAATCAGGAGAAAAGTTATTGCAAAAATATATGTTGATCCCTAGACACTTTTGATGTGTGTATATAAGGTAATATTACTGGTATAATGGACATACAAAAACGCTGTCGGCCATTTTAGCCTATAGATTATATATGGTATGATGGGGACAATAGTAAACAAACACTCGCAAGCACGTAGGATATAACCTATCTAAATTTACGTTACAAAACCGTGATTTCTAATAGATTTAAATTAGCTAAGCAATAGGGTATTTAACAAGTTTTAGGTAACGATCGCACGTTATTGACTAATGTTTATGGAGTCCGTAAAAAGTGGATACCTATTCATCATTCTGTTGTGTATTTCAGTAAAAATAACCAAATCAAAAACTCCATTTTCAAGTTGCCGCGAAAATGTTTCTCTGGACAATATGGCGTCTTACTAGTGGGTGACGTCACACGACTGTTATTAAAACGTCAAACGATACAATGTAATGTCACTTTAACCGGAACTTTACTTGCGTGTGACGTCATTTTAGGCTCCGCCAATCCCAAGCGTTTTGGGTCACGTGACAATAAATAAGAAAACTATTATCTTTTTCGTTACTTTTTAGTAAAATTAAGAATATTTTTGTGTAAAAATAGTGAAAACTCCTGCCAATATTCATTCTAAACACAGATGCTAACAATTGACACTTTATTTTTAACACTGTCAAATACCCTATTATGAAATAAAACGTGCCATCTAATAGGTCATAACGCGATGAAGCGTCAACTCAGTCTACAAAAAGGTGCCCTTTAAAGTTATTTTTTGGTGCAGGCAATTTCATCAAACAAAAAGAATTGTGAAAAGTGTAGGTAAATAGCCCTATCGTCATTAACAGCGTTGCCAGTACAAGTCTTACCATTAAATGTAACATGCAATAGTGCATGCAAAAAATACAAGTATTACCATTAAATGTAACAATTTGTAACATGCAATACTGCATGCAAAAAAATACAAGTCTTACCATTAAATGTAACAGTTTGTAACATGCAATACTGCATGCAAAAAAATCTATGTGTCGCTTTGCTTTGCAACATGAGTTGATGAATTAATGATTTTAATGACATTATTTCTGTGTGATCTTTTAACTCTTTGACGTTACCAAAGCTCGTTTATGTATGAAATTCTTACTTCATACAAGTTTTTTTTTTTATTTCTCATGTGGTCAATATGGAATTCTTAATTGGTTTTTACAATTATTAAATAGACTAAGATTAGCCTGCACCAAACCCTCTTAAATAAAATTTCAAAGCCAAGCAAAGTTTATAATTATGATTTTATTTATTTTTTAAGCATTTAACTGCTAGATGTTTAAATCTAAAGAAAAGTTTGCTAAAAGTTTGCACTGACCATTATGCTACCACGGCCCTGGTAGCATAATGGTCAGTGCATTCGCCCGGATAGCGAAGGATGCGGGTTCGAGTCCCGTCCGCTGCCTGGTCCGCGTGGATTTTTTTCTAGTAAACTTTTCTTTAAAGTTTATAATGTTTAAAAGTTTTTCCGTCCCTATTTGACTTTAAACAATTGATAAACATAATTAGTTAGATTTGATTTAAAACTATGATGCAAATGGCGTCTAGCAGTAGCAAATTGTTAGTATTTTTTTACGTAAACTATTTTACCGTATGCTAGGTTTTGAATACGGGTATTGCTAAATCACAGTTACAAAACACCTATGCAAAACACAAGCAAAGTTTGTTCGCTTGAACGAAAACATAAACATATAAGTGCTATATTGCACGATGTATTAGATAGAATCGTTTGAAAATTTCCCCTTGCTTGTCACAAGTTGGGTAAAATATGGTGTCTATATACGCTTCAATGTTTATGATAAAATACTTTTCCCCCATTAGAAAGTATATCTTCAAGATTTTATCGAATAGATTAACAACAACACAATTTTGAATGTTAGAGCACGCGAATTGAAATCTGTGACAGTGGAACCTATTTAATTTGTATGTTTTCACGTACATCACTCATTTAGTAAAACACTGTGTCAACGGGTTTAAAATACGTTTTTTAATATTTGTATACATAGGTATCTCTACGTTTGAATGTTGAAAGGACGATGTAACATGTCAGTCTTGGTTGATTGAATTGTAACAAATTAATTGTAACAATACACTTCAGGTAATAGAATACCCTTATGATTATTTAAGATTCTAAACATATTTTAATAAATTTGATTGGTATTTTAAAATTTACTACGAAAGTAGTCTAGTAGTAGTAGTTATAGTTGTAAAGTAGTCGAAGAGTCCTTGTAAGAATCGTTTCTTACCCGTGCTCCGCCCAACAAGTTCAACCGGGTGGATTCCGGAGACCTGTTCTGACCCTTGGATCACCTGGGTGGACTAAGGGAGTCTCCCTTTTATTTGATATAATTATTTATGTTTAATTTAATCAATTATCACCTATAATATAAAACCAGCAAACTTTCTCAACAATAAGTAAAAGAATAAATAATATTAACCAAATTCTCTGCTGAACAAATCAATTTCAGTACGAAGAATCGGGCAAACATTCGAAAGGGCACAGCACCAAAGGCAGTCACGACATCCACAAGAAGGACGAATACGAAAAGAAGGTGGAATTCTTCGAGGAAGAAGGCGATTCCGCAGAGGAAGAGAAGCATGGCGGCTACGCAGACGAAAAGTCACACAAAATGGTGAGTTATTTAGTTATCCATACTAATTTTATAAACTAGAGTTCCCCTTTTTTTCATACGCCGGCAAAAAATACTGTTTACAGACGACGGCGCCTTTAAAAGGCACACCGCCGAACGGATCTCACACCAGGCTCCCGCAAGCCTTACAAGCCCCAGCAGTGGCTACCCACTGAGGACCCTGTAACTCTTACGGGCGCTTTACGGCATAATATACGCTAAAAAACCCTGCGAATACTCTCTAAGCTGCTTAGCGCGAAGCCGCGGGATCCCCGTTTAGGGATTCTTCCACGTCTTCGCACCTAGCAGCCTCCCGACCTAGCCAGGGCTCCACGGCAGGGGTCTCCCGGGGTATCGCGGGGACCCCGCAGACGTGCGCAGGATGGCCTGCGTATAACTAGAGGTCCCCTGCTATTTCACCCGCGTTAATTTGAGGAAAATAATTTATAGTGAGTAAAACTTAAATGATGGACATATACTGTCAGAGACTATTTTATAGAACATTGAAAGGGGAACAATTCCGTCATACATGATTTTTGTGTAACTTTTACCGTTTATGCGTTTACAGTGCACGCAACGTAAGATCTCAAATGGAATATTTTTTCCCGTTTTTGCATCATTTTTAATGGATTCTCCGCTCTTCTGTTATTTAGCATAGGCTAAACAAGACTATAGAGTCTTCCTCGATAAACGGACTTTCCGACACAAAAATTTTTTTTTAGAATTTTCACCCGTACAACTTCTATTTTTATTGCGGTACGAAGTTCACTTGGATACTACCAATAGCAATGCAAGTGTATGTATGCGAAAAAAGAACGCGACAATTCCATTTTGAATTACTTAAACATTTCATTTATAATTTGATTCAGTAGGAGTAGTTGGTTTTGTTGAAATTGGTTGTGAATGCGGTGATAAATAATGAACTAAAGATGATTATCTATATATATAAAACTCAAAGGTGACTGACTGACTGACATAGCGATCTATCAACACACAGCCCAAACCACTGGATGGATCGGGCTGAAATTTGGCATGCAAGTAGATTTTATGACGTAGGCATCCGCTAAGAAAGGATTTTGATCAATTCTACCCCGAAGCGAAGCGAGGGCGGGCCACTAGTTATGAATAAATATGTGGAAATCCTAAGTGATTTTATACAGGATCTAACAAATTACTTCTACAAATCCGTACACTTAGCACGAACCATTATTGAATTCGAATAGTTTGCGAGTGCTAAATGTCAAAGTCCAATTTTGTATGGAAACTTGAACAGCAGCGCCGCATCGGACGTAACGAGAACCAAAAATCAGTAAACATTAGACAATGACATTTTGGACTCGCAAACTATTCGAATTCGATAATGCTTCGTGCTAAAGGAACAGTACCCCTAGCACGAACCAATATCGAATTCGTATCGTTTGCGAGTCCGAAATGTCATTGTCAAAATGTGTACTGATTTCTAGTTTATATGCGTATCAAATTTCATCTAAATCCATTCAGTAGTTTTTGCGTAATTGAGTAACAAACGTATAAACTTTCACATTTATAAAATTAGTAGGATCAGCCTGATACAAAGAAATAAATTCACTTCTAACTTATATCTTGATAGTCAAAATAGAAAATATAAATAATAAATAAATAAATAAATATTTCCAACAATCACACCAATTAGCCTAGCCCCAAAGTAAGCACTGTAGGCTTGTGTTATGGGATACTAGGGTAACGGATAGAATACATATACTGTACATATATAAGTATACTAGCGGACCCGACAGACGTTGTCCTGTCTACACGTCTTTGTGAATCTAAACCATTCTCAGATCCCCTTGAACACACACAAAAAAAATGGGTGCGTGTACTTATGTAGGCGCGTGAGAAGTTATCCTTCTTTGGCATCGTTTAAAATTAGTTTTTAATTGCATGCAAATAATTAATTACAATAAATTAATAAAAAGTCTGGAAAAGGACACAGTCAATAAAGTTCAGTTTTAATTTGAAAAAATAAATAAATAATCAAAATATTCAATTAAAATCGCTACTGAATATAATTTATTAGAACATATGTGATTTGCACTTGTATGAAACTCAAACACATATTCCGAATATACAAACTAGAAACATGTGGATAAATATTATAAATATGAATACCTATAACTGTTACTTTATTACAAAAAATAAAGATGTGGTTTTTGGTTCTACTACACCAATGGTCAAGAGATGGCGCTGTAGTCTCCTGAATCGCGCTTTGGTTCCGTTGTTCCAGATTAATAAATACTTTTGATAGGCCTTCACAATGCAGTCGTTAGCACCCACTAAACAGATATTCTATTTCTATTTTGTTGGTAGATTTTCTTAATGTGCGGTAAACACAAAAGTAACGCATGAAGTTGGTCGCTAAAGCGACCAACTTCATTATGTTAAAATTTTGTGTTACAGTGATGCGCGCGCATCTTAAAATTTCACTCTCATAATTTTTTCATAACGCGCCTAAAGAAGTATAACTTCAAAAATTTCATCAAAATCGGTCCAGTCGTTTAAGAGAAGTTCAGTGACATACACACTCACAGAAGAATTATATATATAAAGATTTATATAGAAATACATATGAAACATCTATGACTGGAGTACAAATGCTCGTATTCATCACACAAACATCTGCCCCCACCGGGATTCGAACCCGGGACCTCTCGAGTCAGCGACACCATGAAACCCGGCGTATAAACCACTCGGCCACGGAGGTCGAAATCCTAACACAATGTCGATTAAAAACTATGTCAGATTTAAAATTATATTAAACTAGTGGCCAGCCCTCGCTTCGCTTCGGTGTAGAGCTGTAGTGTAGACTAAAATGACTCTTCATAAAATAAAAATAAAATGAAAATGATATATTTGCCTTTTCCAAACATCTTTTGACATCACGTCACTCAATTGTTTTGCCTTCCCGGAACCTCTCCACTAACATTTGAAATTTATGGTGTGGTATCAAAGTTCAAATTGACTTTCAATATTATTACGAATCGTTTGTAAGGGAGTATAGAAAAGTGTTGTTTTTGGGCTTTTTCAGGCATTTTTTTTAATTTTTCTCTGCGTAAAAACTATCCTTGTACTTCAAGGAATATGCTAAAAAAAGTATTATCGAAATCGGTTCAGCTGTTCTCGAGATTTGCGCTTAGCAACACATTCAGCGATTCATTTTTATATTATATATATTAGCTTTCACATCTTTGATAAAAACAAATACAGTCTTAAATTATCAATAAATAAGTTTAACAGAAAAAATAGTGTTTGCAAAACCGCATGGACGAAGGAAATAAAAACACAAAGTTTAACGTAAAAATATCAAACTAAATGGCATGAAGTGTCTATAAATTAAAAACAAAACTATTTCAAGCCAGTTTCCCTAAGTTGTATAAAAATCATTTTAACCATTGTCGTAACCCAATCTAACAGAGATCTAAATTGGCAATAAGATAGAATGAAAATGTTTCGTTTGAATTGGTGATGTGGTCATTAGATTATCAGCTTTTTAGTTTCTGTAACTTTGTCATATAACTAAGCATGCTATATTTGTTTCTTAGGTTTTCACGCACATCACTCATTAAATAAAACTAGTTTCTAACGGGTTAATGCACGAAACTTTATTTATTTATTGACGTTTCGCAGCCTTTTCAGTTCTGCGTGCATATAACATGCTTAGGTATATGACAAAGTTACAGAAACTAAAAAGCTGATAATCTAATGACCACATCACCAATTCATCACGTTTGTAAACGAAATATTTGCATTCTAATTGCCAATTTAGATCTCTGTTAGATTGGATTACGACAATAGTTAAAATGTTTACACATTTCGCAGCCTTTTCAGGTCTGCGAAACGTCAATAAATAAATAAAGTTCGTGCATTAACCCGTTAAAAATTAGTTTTATTTAAGCATGCTATTCTAAACTAATGCATGTTTCACAGTGTCATTTCCAGCAGTAGCGAAATAATGATCTATTATCACCAATATGCAATATCGATATTGCAAATTATAGGGTACCTACAACAATTATTGAAAAATGAATTAATTTATAAAGTGATGCCCATTAAATTATCGATGCTAAAATACGTATTTAAAAATCTATTCGAACTAATCCGCCGCGAAGATCGCTTTCGCCATTCGCACTGAACATGACAAAAACCATCTTTTGTAAAGTTTCAACCTATTATTTGAGTCTTGCCAAAAGGCCTTCACCCCATATTGCGTTCTATTCCAAATCGATTTGGACCAAAATCGATTCCGATGAGACCGATTAGTGTTACAAAACATTTTGTATTTGAACACCGCGGTTACCACAAGTTATTATTTACATTGGTACCTAATAGGCAGGGTTGTCGATACTTCAATTATCATTGACGGCTCTGAAATAGTATATTATTGCGTTTTTTTTTGTTTTTATAACATTTTTCCTCATAAAAATATTTGTTTACTCGAAATGGGGGTAAGATGATCATATGATCCATATGATAACCCGACCTGGGTGATCATCTTACCCACAGGGGTGTACAAGATGATTACTTTGTAAAGTTTTAAAAAAAAAGACATATTTTAATGAAACCTCAATTGATTTCTGGTTTTGAATATTAGGAAAGTTGGATAGATATATATACTAGTAGTAATCGCTTTTATTTTTGGTTTACCTTGAAAAATATGTATTTTACAGCGATTCCCGCTTAAGGTGATCATCTCGTACTACTTTCCCCTACTCACTGTAGCTTACCAAGCCAGTTCTCTCAAAGACAGTAAAAAATCAAAAGTGCGACAAAGTGAAATCGAAGTTTAAAAAAGAATACTAGAAAAAAATCCACACGGTCCAGGCAGCAGACGACACTCGAAGCCGCAACCTCTGCTATCCGGGTGGATGCACTGACCAATTATTTTGAAATAAATCTAATTCTAGTAATTTTAGTAATGATAAAATATCAATAGAAAAATTTACAGCTAAGGTCACATCACTCATTAC